TTGGGGGGGGGGGGAGAGAGAGAGAGAGAGAGAGAGAGAGACACACACACACACACACAGAGACAGAGAGAGAGAGACAGAGAGGCTATGTAGAAGAACCCTATGTAGAGAACCGGAGAGGCGTTTAGTCCCCGAAAAGAGCGATTCCTGTTTTGAGGGCGCGTAGCTTTCTTCATTCCTCCCGTGCGAGCGGCTGCGACAGTGCCGATGCAAGTACAAAGCGATGAAGAGCGGTCGATCGTATTTTGCTCCTGCACGCAATACCATGGAAGATACCATGGAATAATTGAGCTCAGACAACGCAGTCAAGCCAACCCACACATGCGATCCCTGGCCGCACGCCGAGCAATCATACCTGGAGGGTCTCTGCAGACTTAACAGCCCTCTGGGCCCTGAGGAGGTCCTCTTGCAACCGTTCAGTGGCATCCTGGAGGTAGCGAAGCTTTTCTCCCTCCTGTTCGACGAAATCACGGCGAGAACATAGTGTGCGATGATGACGAATAAACACAATTGTAGCGCGGTAAACTCGACCAGTTAATAAAACGTTAGTCACCAGGGGGAACGGAGGCTACATGACACCTCCAGCAAGTTGTGAAACAGTGCTGTGTCCTCAGGTATTTACCTCTTTCAGTTGGTCTTCTATCTCTTGGCGGGCGGACCTTTCCTCTTCGAGAGCGGCGAGTGAAACCGCAAGACTGTGTTGGAGCTCTTCCTGTCTGTTCCGGGGTGGAATTATGGCGTCAGTGGCGCAAGGGGAGGAAAACGTCGTCGTGTAGGCACCCCTGTCAACCCTTCCTGTGTTGGTGTTCTGTCGGGGTGCAGGAAGATCAAGGCGGTTCTACCACCGCAAGATGTCCATGATAAACACAGGTGAGAACCGTGGCCATCGATGCCTTCTGCGGGATTGCACAACTTGACACGTTTGGCATGCAGGGTAAAGAGCAGCCTCAGAGACACTTAGATTGAGCAGCCTTCCCCCCAGCTTGCCCCTGCAGCGGTATGTATTACGCACCCGCCTACCTCGTAACCGCCGCGTCTCGTTCGCTCTCAGCTGCTCGTATTTTCCCCGACATTTCGTCCGCTCTATCTGCCTCCTCCTTCCATCGTCCCACCTCAGCCGACAGTCGTCTCTCGTGCACACGTACCCGAGCCTCCAGGCCACGAGTTTTCTCTTTCTGTTCCTCCTGTTCCGTGCAACATGCCAGTCAATGTAGAGGGTTTACAACACAGGAGCCAATTCCGACTCAGATTTGGGGGATCAAAGCCCCAAGGAGGTCGAGGTGAAGGTTGGCACCTCTGCTGGTTTGATGAAGCAGTTGGCAGGCTGAGGTGCGCAGCAAGCAATCGCCGGAAGTTTGATGTGTTTCGGCTGAGACGCAAATGCAACACAATAATCGCTCGTCTGGACCAAGGGTCCACCGTAACAAAAGCCATACAAGCCCTGTATGCCCTTGGAAAGTGCTGTCCCTGCCAAGAGGAAGAATCTTGGTTATTTGGCATTTTGGTCGATGCATCCCGATGGAAACAGATGGAAAATTAAGTCCTTTGCCGAGCCGAACCCCGTCACTACAGGACGTTTCTTGCTTTGACGCTTTTACCGTTGTTAAGGCCCGCTGGGCGTCGTTTGAATACCTTGCATATAGCCGCTCTTCTCGCGCTCACATACATACGTGGGGTGAAATCTGTGAGTTGATACCATATGCTCGGTCCGCTGGTTAGTGCACATACCTGAAACCACCTGTCCGCTAAAATCCCTGCTCCATGCCCCGCTGGGTGATATGCGCAGGGATCTGCACGGAGGGCTTCCAGAGCACGCAGGGCTTCGGCCGCAGCCGGTCGATCCTCTGCGTGCAAGCTAAGGCAGCGGTCAAGCAGTGGTTTGAGCAGGGAGAAGCGGTCTCCTGCCTCGGCCACCTTGCGTGATCGGAACGGGGTCACAAGCGTAGTCAGATCCCATTGTTGGTCATATGCACGTGTCTTTCAAGGGTGTTTCATCATGGAAACTAGGCGTCTTTACGGCAGTACAATGCATCAAAACTGTGTTGGAACTTGTAGAATCGACGAGCGAACCAAGGAGCTTCGGTCGCGGCGATGTCAAAATTTCACAGTAGTTGTTTTTTTACCAACCACGTGTTCATATGCCACTTTTCCTCACAATCATTCTGCCGGTGCATCCATTGACTGAGTTACTCGAAACATCACCTATACCTCGCTTGGGGACAAGAAGACCTTCAATGACTTGCCTGTTCTTTCCTTGTGTCTAGTCGGGGGTATTCTCCCGTGATGAGTTGGGCCAGCAGCACCCCGAAGCTGAAGACGTCAATCTGGAACGGAACGACACCCACAATCCAGCACAACTAACGTATAATGTGAGGCTCTGCTGTGGTGAGTTTTTGCGCCTGGATACATATACCTCGAGCGCTCGTTCGTTAGCAAAGAGGATGCTCGGAACGCGGTTTTTATGGTAGTCTTGAAAACGTCTTCGGGTGTAAAACTCGCAGCAGCATTTATTTTTTAGCCCACGAAGTCACAGTATTTGCCTTTGGTATTACACGATCGTTTTCGACGCTACCACAAGGGTCGGGGAGTAGTCCGATCTCGAGCCTATGCCCCTCATTTACAGGTGCTAGATCCTGTACAGGGACGCGTCCGTTTCAACTACTCACGCTGCTGCTGTAGCGACCAGTTAACACTTCCGGTGCCGCGTACACCTTCAGCGAAGAGAACAAACGCAGGTGAAAAACAGCACGACCGGACGTACATGAGTTTCCTCACAAGAACGTTTTGAACATAGGATAGTTTCAGGTACTTGTCTCGAAGCTGAACGCCACCGAACAACACCAACACATAGACTTACCATGTATATTGCTGCGGGAGTACGTGGAAGTAGCGCGAAAATTGAAGCGAATACAGATGTCTCGAGAAACGCTCGGGCACGTGCCAGGGAGCCGCACGCGTCTACTACTGCATCGCTATATTGGAGTAAGGGTGGGCATGCTGCACACACAGAGAGACGATTTGCCTAGACCCACCATCGCTCCAGGCATGGCGGTCTGCCGACTGCCTCCCACTGCCGATGCCACGCCCATTGCTTTCGCTTGTCCCAAATCTGCCAGCTTCGCTGTTCGACCGTCGTACAAAACGTTTCTCGAGGAGAGATCTCGGTGTACAATAGCAGGGCTGACGGTGTAAGGAGCCCGTTTGGATCCACCGTGGGATGTGTGCAAGGTTTCGCGGTGGCCGGCCAGCAGATTTTGTTAGAAGATCGGTTTGCCGGCGCGAAAGGTAGTCTCCTTCTCCAATACAACATTGGTATAAGTTAACCAAGAGCGCGCACGTCTGGTCCCACCGAGCGCATGTACGACACTGCCACGGAAGCTCAGGAGCTGAATGCACAGGGGTAGTTTATTGTCCCACTCACATCATGCTTGATTCTGTTGGAGGGTAGCGTCGCAACATATCAAGATGAAGTTATTCATGCATCGTCTTCACCTCTGGCCGTGGATGTACACCAAACCCGAAGCGATATCGCTGGCCAAGTCCAAAACTTCGTGTTGCTCCAAGCGCACTCCTCTTGTTTCGAGCAGGTCGTAGACGCTTGAGGGCATGAGCCTACGATGTTCGTGTTCCAGCGTCACGAATGTTCAGATTTCGATCGCCAAATTCGCAGAGTTTGCCAGCCAATACGAAGATGCAAGCACGTTCACATGACAATGCCAGCAATACTCCAAACCCAACCCGAAAACGATATTTCATAGGGTTATTTTCAGAGGAGAACGGTGCTTTAGCTGTGGTCTGACCGTGAAAGGATATCCCTTGACGGTCGAAAGATATGTCAGCTGTCCAACCTACACCGTCTTCTGGTGTGAATTATCGACGAATAACTAGTTTGGTAGTGGTTTCCATGGGTCGGGCAAGCCCTAATGGAAAGGATGTTGTGGATCAGACGCCGTTCGTGTTTCATTGATTTGTGCTTCCTCGACCAAAGATACATATATATCGGGTTAGACATTTCGAGCACAGTGAATTTATAATACACAGCGGGCTATGAAACGTACGCCATGCGGCAGCTGAAAAATTGTCAACATCACCTCCACTCACTCGGTTATGATGCTCCGTGGGTTGTGGGTGTGTGGGTCGTACGTCACGCCCAGGAATAAAAGGAGGTTTGGGTGTCGAAGGCTTGCTAGGAGGCTCATTTCTTTGAGCAGGTCCCGGCGCACTGCCGCTGTCTGCTCAATGGACAGACTCGCCGCCGCTTCGGCCCCGCTAAGAGCATGCAGTTGCTTTGCTGCCACCCTGTATAGGTTGAGGTGTCGACACATCAATGATTTAATCAGGGGCTTGTTCAACTCGTGGTTTCTCACGCAGTACCGAGCTTGGTCACACAACGGAGGATGAGTGGTTGTTATCCTCGCACTACCTTCCTGGATAGTCTTTGGGTTGTAGGTTCGAATCTCTCTGGAGTGAATAACTCTCAAACTATGCACAGAAGTGGCAATTGCATGGCCGTGAGTACATGCGATATGGATGATCAACCCTCTCTAGCATTCGTTGTTGAAGGAATTGTGGAGAAGAAATAAATATCTGTGATTCCCTCCTCCTGAATAATCCCGGCTTCTGCTTCCAAAATATGCGGAAATGCGTGTGTCTGGTGCCGCACAGATTATTCTAGACGAATTTCGTCTATTCATTGATCATCGGTTAGCGCAGCGATTCTGCTCTAGGAAACAGACGCACACTGGCAGACCACATCAACATTTTTGGCGGAGCTAAACATTGTTTGTTGGAAGAAGCTCGGTTGCGCAGAGTACGGTGCGCGCGGTGTACAAATTAAACCGTGTGGCATATGATATCTGACGTGCTTTGGAGAACCATGGAGATCTTGCGTTCTTGTCGCCTGCGACTTTGGGTGGTGGATACAATCATACATTCATACCCGTACTGCACGTTGTCTTGAGGGTTTTCTTAACGAGTAAAGAATGTGCCTTTACATCTCTCTCACCTCACCCCTCGCCATGTAGCGACTCTAACCTCTCCGTACGACCCGCGACCCAGCACTCCTTCTTCACCCTGTTGGATTGAAACCTCTGACGTGGTAAAAGCCCATTCTCGAACCAAGAAATCCTGTGTCCTCGCGGGCGGAAGGAGCAAGAAATACACTGATGTGACAAAACGCGACGCCACCCATGCGACACCAATCGAAATGGCCACAGGAAAACGGAGGATGTGGAAGCGAAGCCGGTGCGCTGACCGATGCTCTTCGAGAGAACCACACCTTACAAAGCCTATTTTTGAATTGCCGGCAGCAGCAACACGGGTGGTTCAGGAAAAATCCATTTGGCCAAACATACACGGCACACAATGTCGGTGAAAACCCAAACTGGCACAAGCGACAGCACCCGGTGGTTCAGTTAATCCATTTAGTCAAACTGGCACTCTGGCACTGGCACAAGCTTGCCAGCAGCACCAACGCGGGTGGTTCAGGAAAATCCATGTGGCCAAACATACACGACACTATATCAGTGAAAACCCAACGGCACAAGCGCAAGCACCCAGTGGTTCAGCTAGTCCCATTCACCAAATCTGCCCGAGTAGCGACCGATGCGAATGCCTCTGCCGTCAGCCTGCTGACCGTCTCTCTGGCAATGTGGGGCGGTGTACTGTGGATGGCCGATCGACAGAGAATGAAGCCATGAGATTCAAGATCGCCGTCTTCTGGTTCACGATGGCAGGTTTTCTCCACCGATTCTCGAAATACGATGATGGATACTTCGAATAGTCGCGAGTATCCGGTGAGCGTACGAGGCTGACATGATCGGGAATCAGACATACCAATATGTCTCCCGATCCATCCTGCTGGAGGGGTCAAGGGTACACGCCCCCCGACACCTGGGGGCAAACGCCTCTTCCTCGGCGGGTGCCCGTAAACAATAACGCAGGTGTTTCACTCAACACCGTCGTCAAACGAAAATATCGATTGAGCCATACCCTTGCCATTGCCGCCCATTGTGAGTGCTGAACCTGATATGCTGATTATCGAGGTTGCTATGGATGCTATGTGACGCTTTGGAAGTTGGAAGCTGCTTGCTAGGATTGTCATGCTGCTTGATTGCCCTTACGGATATCGGCTCCACAGACAGACATAGTTTGTACAGATGAGACGTATCTTACCTGATGAGATATTGCTCAACCTTGTGTTTGCTACATACGCGTGTCAATCCCTTTTCACTACCATCTGCCTTTCTGTCTGTTGTATCGTCAAGGGTTTGCGCGAAAACTATTTAAAGGAAATGTTACATACATGTGCTCGGGAATTAATTGTGGGTCCGCCGGTGTGTGTGTGTGTGTGTGTGTGTATGTGTGTGTACTAGTAATCGTGCATGCCGTAGTATTAGACCATTGACCTCGCATCCCTACACAGTCGGGACGGAGCACGCCGGTTTCTCACCGGACCAGGCTCTCACATCACCAAGCGCGAAGCGCCGTGAGCGATCATCCCTCTTGCACGGAGTGAGGTTTCTCGACCCCGCACAACATGATCTACTCGACCACCAATATGGTTACCGCAAAAAAAAAACAGAGGTAGTGAAAAAAAAAATAACCTGGTTGCCGAGTTCGCGAAGTGGATTGGCTTGTTTTAAAACGTCGTTGCCAAGCGACGAAAACTCAACCCCGATGGCAAACACCGGGGGGGGCGGCTTGTTTTTCTATAACGTCGTTGCCAAGCCACGAAAACCCAACCCCGATGGCAAACACCGGGGGCGCCGGCTTGTTTTACAACGTCGTTGGCATGCGACGAAAACCCAACCCATATGGCAAACAACGGGCATCCCTACAAAGCCGGGACGGAGCACGCCGGGTTCTCACCGGGCCAGGCTCTCACATCACCAAGCGCGAAGCGCCGCGAGGTATTCGGCGAGTCGCATGAAGGGTGCGCTGCATCCTGCTAAGGGTGTTCGGCATCTTGTGCTTACTTCCTTGCGTACGGATGACAGCTGCGTATGACTTGATATATTTTCTGGTGCTTTCACTTCCAGACACAGTTATAAGCACTTTGAACCTGCCTTGAGGATGCTTGACCATTTAAACACAACGTGGTGCGATCACCCCCCTCGCGCGGAGTGAGGGTTCTCCACCCCGCACAACATGATCTACTCGACCACCATTCACGGTTACCGCAAAAAATAAAAAAACAGAGGTAATGAAGAAAACACGGTAACCTGGTTGCCGAGCTCACGAAGTGGATTGGTTTGTTTTACAACGTCGTTGCCAAGCGACGAAAACCCACCCCCGATGGCAAACACCGAGGGGGGGGAGGGGCGAGAATTTTTCCAGAGCCTCCCGGGTTCTTGTGCTGAGGTGGTTTCGCTGAGGCATGCTTCTTTGACTCTGTTGCATCTGCCATGTGGGCCTGTCTGGAGACCGCCGAGAAATGACGAGCGGACACCGGCGACCCTCGTCAGGCTCGTCTTCGGAAGTCTTTCGTGCATACCCCCCGATGAACCGTCTGGAGCTGTAGACCGAAACGATATGCTTCAGAGGGTGAAACTTGGAAGGGGGGCCGGGGGGATACAATCCAACCCTGGCAATACCATTGCGTATGCAATGCAGTTGATACTGCCAGGACGTTTGGTTTCCATCCCCGGACTGCTCGGGGAGGGGTAACTGACGTTTCTCCCCGACGGGACCCCCACATAATAATCGGAAGACACAATGCTAAAAAGCAAAAGCTTTGCCGGGCGGGGCGAGGGAGGGCATTTAGTATTTACAACTGTGCATCATGAATTGCAAATGGTCAACCCCCTTGCCTCTTACTCTAAAGGAGCCCCGTAGAATAATTTCTTACCCCACACATTATTACATTCTTTGTGCCCCCTAATTTCTGAAGTTCGAAGGTAATTCAAGGAATAACCATGGTAAAATTGTGTTTTGAGGTCCCCTAAAGCAACTTTTCGCCGCATTCCAACAAGGTACTGGACGTACGAGACGTAAAATATACACATCTTACGCTACGGCCATCCATGGTAAAGGTTGTTGTGATGAGCCAAGCATACCAGGTCCGGATTCAAGGAACAACCATGGTAAAATAGTGTTGTGAGGGCCCCTAAAGCCACTTTTCGCATTCAAACAAGGTACTGGACGTACGAGACGTTAAATATACTCATCTTACGCTACGGCCATCCATGGTAAAGGTTGTGTGATGAGCAACACACATAAGTCCGTGTGGCCCAATGGATAAGGCGTCCGCCTACGAAGCGGAAGATTCCGGGTTCGAGCCCCGGCATGGATTGATTTTTTCTTCTTTTTTGCCACTTTCTTTCGGGGCAGCCCCTATCACGACCTTACTTACACTGCTTGTTTTTTATGCACGCAGCAAACATTAGTTGCAGCTCCAAAATTAATTGAGGATCAACATTGATTGGATGGACGTATTGAAATTGGTTTTTGGGCCAAAAAAAAAAAAGGGCTTGCGCCGCCTCAACATCATTCTGCCACACCCGAATAAATATTGCCGATCAATCGAGGTATTGTAATCGCCGCCGCGAGGTGACGCGGTCACCAAACAGGTAAGTAGAGCGAAAGATTGTCAGTGCACCACACAGGAGGAGCTGTAAGAGTATCAGCACACACACACACGAAGCTAAGGACCAGCAGGCGCTGCCAGTGAGTGGTCCAAGCCTTAATGTACCTCAGGCTTCTTACTACTTGGACTACTGTATCTCCCTGCACGCACTCATCCAGACATTTGGCTTTTGATATCGCACATCTTCTGGAAAAGCAACCTCCACAGCAACCAGCCCAACCAGCGCGAAACGTTGACAGGCTCACAGAATCATTGGAACACAGCTATTTCCCGGCACCGGGCAGTGGACGATGCATGTAGGTGCCGCGCGGCCAGTCGGTCCAGTCAGGGGTAACGCGAACACCAGTAGTTCAGCTCATCATGGGGGAGGGGTGCAAAAGGGGCGCAGTCCAACTCGGGTATGTACTTCGGTTGAGTACAATACAATTCACCTTGCAATTGTTTTTTGCTGCACCCAATATGACGATTTTTTTCTGGCGGCGGCGCCTGGAAAAAAAAGGAAAAAAAAGAGGAAGAAAGTCCACGCCTCTCTCTCGCGAAATATCTGTACAGTATACATATCTCGATGACCACGACGTTGATTCACAAGCAAGCAGGTTGCTGCAGCAGATGCGGAGTGAGCAAGAGATCACCTAGATCTGTCTACGCTGTGAATGACAGCCCCCTGTTGTCCACTCTCGCTGCTGCCTTGCAGTGCACAAACCAGAGCGCTTCTCAAATATATCTGCAGGCATATCATCGACAACACAATCAAGCAAGTAGCAGCGCCATTGTCTCAAAAAGGAGGCCAGTGCGGCAGCCAGCGGTGATTCGAGCAACAAAAATGTGTGGAGAGAGGTGGTGCCGCCGCCTTGAGATCCGCGCCTGCCTGCTGTGATGATTATGTGTGCAGTGAAAGGTCGCGCCTACAACTCTGCTGCTGCTGCCGCCGCTGCCTATAATAGAGCATCATCTCTGATCTGTCTGATCTCTGTCTCACCCAGTCGTTCTGCGCCACACCATACACAAGAACAGCTGGAGAGTAGTATAGTGCCACTGCGTCAGTGTGCCAATCGTCTTTGTCGTTGTGCGTCGGTATGTTTGCGTCTGACCATTACTAGGATCATCACGCCGCTCTTGTTCCTGCCGCTAGCTACAGCAGTAGCTGCTGCTGCTGCTGGGTGTGCTGTGTCTGCAGTGCGTTTTGCCAAGATCGCAGGTGATGTGTGCGCCTCTGTGCCCCTTTTCAAACGTGTCCCGGTACGAACGGTAACCAAAGTACCACCTTAAGCCTAGTACAAAAGGATGGATGCCCCGGTACCGACCGTGAGGCTCTCCCACTAAAAAATCGCCCCCAATATTTATCGGAGTCGTCCCGCTTTTCCGGGCAGAGAACGCATCATCATCGTGTTTTTCTCTGTTGACCAATCAGCATCTTTGGCCCCCGGTACCCCCCCAAACTTAGTTTTTGCAAGGGCCTATGTTTAGGGTTAGGGTTAGCGTGCGCGTGCCCCCTGCCCGGTTGTCTTTCGAGATAAACTTACGTTCTTTGCGTAGGCAGCCCCCCTACAGGACAGCACAAGCGCGGAGATGAGAAACGTCAATATCGGATCCGAGGCTCACTGACTTCGCTTCATCGCCAGCACTGCTGCTGTCGACCACAGACAGGTTGCTACAATAGAATCGCACTCACATGAAATCCAGACTCAGATGGTTGGAAGAACAAGACAGAACTCTGGCGGAATAACTTTGCTCAGCCGCCGGCACGACACGTAAATCCTACTGCAAGTAGACTCTGTGGTAGCTTAGCAATACAGCTCAGTCATCGAGGATACTGCTGTAGACAATGTAAAGGTTTCGGATCGATCCTCGCTCACAATAGATGATTAATACGAGTTGGCGGGCCCTACTGTAAACAGACATGACCGCTGGCCTCTACAGCAGCGTGGAAATATACCTCGTCTACCTCCGGAGTGGTTTGGCCTTCCATCGTCCTATCGATCGCAGACGTCCCTCCCGCCGCCCGAGGGTTATTGGGCCATCTCGTTGGCGAAGGACTACGAGATCGCGCTCGAGGTGGAGTTTTCGCCATGTCCTGCTCGCCTTGACGCCCCTCGATGCCCCACGCGTAAAGTTCTGGGGGTGGAGTCTCAATAAAAGCAGCTTCGAGAATGTGCGGCCACGGCTGTACGGCTAAATCCACCTGACAGACCCCAGCGGAAGCTCGAAACCGCGGTAAGCGGTGCGTTTTGCTGTATCGCACGCCCCCCGAAACGACACATTTCCCGCCGCCAAAACCTTGTGCACAGGTTCTGATAGATATACGATGTTCCACCGCCATCTCTTTGCTCACGGGGGGGGCGCGGTACATCGAGAGAGCAACAGCACTACGGACAGCAACAAACAGGAGAAGGCGACTCAGCCAGCGTCAGTAACCATCTCCCGTGATCCCGTGAGACGAAAGGTGCGTAATTGAGTCAGCGTGTCCGTCAGTTGGGCGCACTTGTGTGCGTTTTCCCTGTGAGCTGGGCCGCAGAGGAATCACTGGAATGCAGACCAACCGGGTTCGGGTGACACAAAACGGTACAACACAAGCAATTTAGTCGGGAATCGACCCCCAAAGCTCCACGCTGTTTGCCCTACACCACCGAAAACCTCTTTCTGGCGGCTCAAGCGAAGAACCACGCCACCTGGACTCTCGAGTCGGCCATCACCGTTACTGTCGCGAAAATTGACTCCCTAAGCGTCTTGCGAACTTTGAGAGCGTCTTGCGCACTTGAGGGCAACGAGAGGGGGTGAAAAATGTAGGGCTATCTCAAGCAAGGGTGTCTCAACTGTTTACGATTTGCACGAAGAACGCAACTACTACAGCAGCGAGCACAGGACTGTGCATCTATTTGTGTACTATTGTCGACATGGATCAGTTGTGATTGTCCTTCCGGCAATAAATATAGAAGGCACCGCCAACGAGCCTTGTTCAGCTGTCATCAGCTGTCATGTCCAGATAGGACGGGGTAATGGGCAGCCGGGTAACCGACTAAATACCATGCAGTAATCGATCTGCCATGCTGATGTGCAGTGTTTAGCCACGTGCACCCGGGACAGGCGTGCGACGGACGCGACGAGACTTGCGTGTGCGGTCCCTGTTCAAACATTTTCACGTTAAACATGCGGTAGTTTCTTTTCCGTCGATGCCAGTGCCCGCAAACACGCACTTCGGGAAGGCATGCGTGGTTTATTACCTGGTGGCGATCATATCACACATCACACTGCTGAAGAGCACCAGCAGCAGGGTAGGGATAAGATCGTGACAGACAGGTACGTGACAGAAAAATGAGGCAGGCTCACAACTACCGTATATGACACAAGAAAACACACCCCGGTGATAACATTTTGGAGTTTGAAAATATTATCATCGGGTGTGGTATCCTGTGGGGGGTGTGTTATCTTGTGTACCCCGGGTGATAAAGTGCAGCTCGCAGGGGCCCCTAAGGGGGTGTGATAAAACAGGGGGTGTGATAGCGCGTCCGAACACCCACAGCGTGTGTTTGGGGGTGTGATAAATGAGGGGGGGTCATAAAAGGGGGTGTGATAGCACGTCCGAACAGCCACAGCGTGTGCTTTGGGGTGTGATAAATAAGGGGGTGTGATAGCACGCCCGAGCAGCCACAGCGTGTGCTTTGGGGTGTGATAAAAGGGGGGGTGAAAGCCATGCCTGCACGTACACGTGCAGTGTAGGGACCTACCTAAAGGGGCGTGGAAAAACAAAGGGGCTCAACCGAGGTGACGAAACTCCTGAGCACATGACCTCGGCGATAACTCAACCCTCTGCCTGCACGTTCATGTTGTTGGGGGTCTCCATGCGGGGTGTTTCCCCGCACATAGCTGACGTGGTTGTGTGTGTGATTGCCCAGGGCAGATGCTGTCACCCCGGTGATAAAGAAGGGGGGGGCTCGTGACTATATGCGGCGTATCTAAAAATATCACTGGGGTGTGTTATCTTATGTACCCCCGGTGATAAATCGATGGTTTGTCAGAAGCGCCCAAAACTATCACCGGGGTGTCGTATTCTGTGGGGGGTGTGCTTTCTGATGTAGGTGTGTTATCTTGTGTCATATACGGTAATCTGCCATACTCAATCGCCTCAAGCCTGCCGCATTCCCCACGGAATGAAAGCAAGGACTCTACACTGCTATTTACCGAAATGCACCACACAAAGCCGTTGATGGACATGAAGTTCACGAAAGAGGCCCAGCAGCAGCCACAGTAGTCAGGGCAGACGGCTTTGTGAACTCAGTGGCGCCACGCAAGTACGCAACCTGTATCGATCCCGGGCAACCATCCTGAAAACGCACAGCAGTAGACCCTTACGATGGCAGGTGTGCCCAACGGTAGGTGTGCTCTCGGCTTGGGAGGTTGTGTATATGTTGTGTCTAAGAGATCTCGTCACTCTCCCTATTGAACAGTCAATTGGACTCACTCAACATCAATAAACAACCCCGCCGGGTTGCGCTTGGCGCATGACCATACCCACGGCCAGCGGCGTGCAGGTGGTATAGGCTCGGCCCCTGCTGTTTTTCATAGCTGGCCTCGGACCTGCGCCCCAGCGGTGATGCATCTTTTGCTGGTGGTGCGCCTCTGTTTCTCTCCTACGGGTCTGAACCACGCGTGTGCGATCTCCGATTTTCACGTGCCTCCATTACCTCCACAACTCTCGGGGTTGGGGTGATGTGTCTCCTACGACTATTCGGGACAACTGCCTATGTAGCACGGCCATCTATTGCCGAAGCACGACCAAACGGATGTGGCGAAGAGTACCCTATTTTTCTTCTTCCTCAAGAAGGAACTCAGGTCGTCAATCGGTGCCCAATAGGTCTTGGTTGGGTCGAAAAGGAGGGTAATTTTGGTCGCCCATGTATCAAGCCTGGGCCGCGTCGCGTTGGAAGAGGCCAAGAGTTAGAATATTATTTTCCGTTTTGGAACGAAGAGGAAAGGTCGCGCTTCGCGCTCCGCGTCTCATTATAGTGATATCCCTGGTCCATCGAAGGCGCCATGAATAGAAGGGAGATCATACTCGCAACAGCCCTGCCCATACACAGATATACTCCGGCAGCACTGGAAGTTCTTCCTCACCTACGAACAAGCCTGCAAATACATAGCGGCAAATCAAACCACAGCAGTGGCAGCTTCTTCTTCCGTCTGTATTCCTAGAGGTGTGCTGCTACTCGTGACACCTCCATAACTTCTTGAAATTTGAACTGTCAGGTGGGGGGGGCGTACAATTTTCGAGGATGGACGCATTGCTGGAGCTTCGCCCAACCGCAACCGGAGCAGCTGCCATGTCCGAGGAATGTATTGGGGAAGATGAGAGCCTCCGCTTGACGCGAAGCTTCACTATCTTCCATGCGCTGATGAGAATATGCGGCTCCGGAAACCTGCCTTCGCATCTTGTGCTCCATATCTTGGGAGCAGATCATAGGTACCGTCGAACAGGATGAATAAGAACTTTACGTACTCTCATTAGCCCTCTTCGGCTGTTGTGCATAGTTGCAAGAGGAAAGATGACTATGCAAGCACTTAAAATATTGATAGATGCGTGGAACGTTCGACAGAGACCCTCCCTCCAGAGGCACAATCAAAATGGCCACAGCCGGCAGTTGACGGCTGCTGAGGAGCAACGTTTTTCGTTGTTAACCTGGTAGTTTGACAGCGGTCACAAGGCTTTGACGATGCTCGTGAGCACTTGTTTTCCGCCAGCGCTTGCGTCCTTGAAAATGTCACGTTGCTCTACGAAAAACAAATTGCCGTTCTGATGTCGGATGTTTCCAAGGTCGCTTCCAACCCTCCAGAGTCCGCCACGGCGCTCAACGGGCTGTTACGCCCACTGCATGTCCTCGTCGGCTGATCAGTTGCATTCCTGTCGCCTTGCTCTTTCCGGCATCATCGCAGAGAAGGCACAACGCCGCAGCAGACGCGGGCGATGTTCGTAGACCTGTTCCAACGCCTCGGGCACGACGAACACGTACAAGACCTGGACTTCGTCTTCTGCGGCCCCAATATTCCACCGCATCTGCATGGCACTCGGCATACCTTAGTCCACCATCACGCCCCAGCAGCTGCCACAAAGGACCAAACCATTTGTGGGCTGGATGGCGTGTGGCAAGAAAGTCCAGCTGCAACCCCAGGGATGATGACCACCCGGTGCTGTGATTCTCCACCGTCTACAGCAGGGGCATTGACGGTCCGCCTTTGGTACAACTCTGGGCTCTACCACGACGTATCTGGCTTGTTCGCAACACCGGACGCCCTTTTTCTCTTCAACGCTGGTCTATGGGGCTACGATGACTGGGAGCCTACTTTAGAGCACATTCTCGGCTGCGACCGCGCCGCGTGTCCTAGCGATCACGTTGGCAATCGACAGGCTTCACCACCACCAATCCCCGCGACAAAATCTGGGCCAAGAAACGCGGTGCCTGTGGTCGTGACAAGCTACTGCTCAGAAGAAGCCTCCGATGACATGGAAACACTCGAGAGGGTGTTGCTGGGGGAAGATGGAAACTTCGTGGAGCTATCACCTGGCGTTGCTAGTAGCCCAGTCGGTGGACTAGAGTGGTTGTGGAAACCGGAAGTAAATCCCCATCGGTCGCGGGTACCCAGGCGCACAGAGTGTGGGGTAGAGGGGAGAGCACTATTTGAGAATCACAGCTGGCAGGCCCTGCGCCCACTGCGGTGCAGGCACTTCAGCAAGGCAACATGCAATGAAGGGTTAACATGACAGCAGCATTGTTCCCGAGTGTAGTGGTTGTGGTGACCCTTTACGGCATGCCCCACAAATCGGTGAGTGCGACTTTGCATGTGTGATTTCTTCGCTCCACTTGGGAGATGGGAAAGGCTGGTATGCTGAAGACGAAAATCGTGGGGATAAATATTTTCATAAATATACCGGTTGATAAGCACGTACGGCAAGAAGTTTGTCAAGGACATTCCAAGATCCGCGCGTAACAAACAGTTGGTCAACCACCGCCCACAGACCGAGACCAAATCAAGTTGCCGCTATCGGGAAGCTCGTGGTAATGGACAAGTCTCTCTTTGAGGACGTTGCGCACAACCTTCAGCGCACTCCTCGACAAAGCCCGACCCTTTTCCATCGCCAACGTCATGGTGCTCGCTGTGCTCTCCCTGTACGGCACCCACCCTTCCAAGCGCCCCTTGTGGTTGGACAATCGAGGGCGGGGGTGTAACCTCACCCTGGGGGCCGTACCACTTTCCGGCAACTGGAAAATATGAGTTGCCTTCGCAGTCGAGCATAGCGAACTGCACCGTAGGAGCAGTGTCACCCTCGCCTTCCTGCAACTGGAGATGCAGGTGAGGTGTCGGGCAAAACCCCGCCCCGCCTGATAAGCAAAGTGGTTGCCCCGCTTCAACTCGATCGCCCGGATTGACAAGCGCGGACCCCGCCAGAATGTGGACGTACTCCGCTAGAAGACCATCCTCTTGCAAGACGGTAACCTGTCCATAAAGGTCATTGACGCGAAAACCATGTAGATATGTCGGGTCATCTAAGATCATTCAAAAACGTCGCAAAATTAGTCATACCAACTCAGCCGAGACGAAGTGGCTTTTTTCTTTTTTCCTCATATTGGCATGCGCCGTTGAATGAATATTTCCGCCCACGTTGTCAACCCTTTCGGGAAGGGCGAAAACCTCTGGAGAGCCATCATACGCAAACAAGTCTTCCGGCGTACGAAAATGCGTGGGTGAACAAGAGTGAATCGTCCTCGACCTTCACCTTCCCCTTGCTATGAGTCCATCTCTTGTTTGCTACACAAGAAGAAGTCTTCTAGGGTAACCAGAACCCAACCAGCAGTAGGCGACCCACTTCTTCACAATCTGATGTGCGCGTATCCACGGGTGCGCTACGCCCGCCACGTCGTCAGAAGGCCCACAAGTCCTCCTTCAGTTTTGGTAACGGGGCTCTGCTTCAGAGCTACCGCAAATTCTGCGCACAATTTTGCATTGGGTGGTGTGTGCATGCGCCAGTCCGATTCGTTCGCAAGGCATCCGCACGAATAGGGAACTGGGAAGAATCATTTGTACTAATCCCTACCTGGTTTGACTGCACTTTTACGGCTAATAGTATCACAGAGGCCACCCAACAACGGGAAGCCGATTGCAGTACAACAGCACTGGTCAAAATACGCACCGAATTCCAGTGAAACAGCCCTCTTGCGTGTACTCCGCCGGCAGTTTCGGACTGCCGTACTTCCTTGACTGTCCCACTCGCAAGCGATAGAATTGGCGTTCCCTCGGGGCATTCGAAATCCAGCGCGTGGTGTGTGCCGGGAAAGAAATGGGTGAAGCTACCGCCCACTCCCTGCGGTAGAGCGAACGAACAGGTTCCCCAACGAGCGTGTGATCACTACCGATGTGTCGTAACTGGCCACGGGATGCTAGTAAGGTTTAACTTGGGAAAACAATTTTTCGCTTCCCACACGGGATGAAGGGTCCAATTGTGCCCCCAAGTTCCGAGGTCTACTGTTAACTTGCGTCGCTCGCGCATCAGAAATAAGAGGATCACAATTACATCACCGAGTCAATCAAATGAACCGAACGCTCGAACACGAAGGGTATGGTACCTGAGAACAGAGGAAGGGGGCGTTTCCCCCAAGAGGAAACGGGTACGTGCGTGAGGATTCCCACGCGGCCGGGTTAGGGTGTTGCTTGACGTTCTTGATGTCCGAGAACAAATCGATCGCTTCCTCTCCACACCCCTGCCCTTCGGTGACGTCCAAGTAGCAGGCCTCGATTACCCCACGGGGCTTCACTATCAGAACAAGCGTCGTTACAAGGTCCTCTTGGCCCTCGCTGTTGCGGGTTGGCCCCGCCGCCATCGGCCGGCGCTGACCGTCGAAGGCTGCGTGTTTAGTGGTGATGAAAAACGATTTGTCCGTGTCGTATCCGGTGTTGATAACGCTGCATCACGGCCGGCGGGGGCGGGAGCGGGGGCGGGGGCGAGGGGCGGCGGCGAGGGGCGGCGGCGAGGGGCGGCGGCGGTCCAAGATCGATATCTACCGCTGAAGGAAGCAATGACTTTGGTGCAAGATCGTTCCGACAAAACACATGAAGTAATGCCCACCATGGTCACCAAAACAGTGGCAGCTTGGCCGATTCGTAGCAGGAAATAGCACAAACACAGACGAGAGCACCCCTGCCATTGACGAATGGCACGGCAAGACACTCCTAACCCCCAGCATTGTAATTTACCGCGCTTTGGGCACCTCAGGGAACGGGTGTCTGGGTCAACGATCATGTCTGGCACCCCCTCCTCGTCTCCAGGCTCCAGCCCGTAGTCTTCAAGGTCGAAATCTGTGGCTTCGATTATCCACTCCGCGTCGTGATGCGCGATGTGACATCCTGGCTGGCTCGAGGCAACGTAGTTGCCACGTACGTTCGCTGTCGAAGCATCCACCGCCATGTGTGCTTCACACAAAATGAAACGCACTGACGAGTTGGTCAGCGCGGGGGGTGGGGATTCGAATTACTTACTATGATTGACACATGTTCGTCCAAAACCAACAACACCAGTATCGCGCTCCTCTTCTATGTGATTGAGCAGCACTCCCAATAAAAGTTCCCTCCCTGAGGTTCGAATCTCACCAGGTGGTGGCTACGACAGCACTTGACCTCTGTGATATTGGGCAGATCTCACCAGCAGCACAGAGGTCACGCGTGCTCCTCACATCCGATTCCAACACGCTTTATTGCGGCCCTCTTATAGATGTGTCGCTTCCATATCCTCACACTATCGGTAGGGACGCGGGATGGTCGTGTGCCAACACTACACGTTCCTCCGACAGGAAGGACACAACAACGTTCATCAACAAACCGCACTCCAGGGCCGGTTGCGAAATCTTTGCGCACTCCAGAAAAATATTGAACTAGTACATGGTAGGATTAAGAGGTTATCCACTAGACCACCAGGGCAACCAGTCAACGAGCGCGATACTGTAATGTGGTGTAAAACGGCAGCAGCACAGCAGTACGTAGTCTACAGGAGCTTCGTTCTGCTGCGAACTCTTGCTACACATATTTCTACTGTACAAGCAAACCCACCGGTGGGTGAACACGTAAACGAATATATCCCTTGCGTGGGCGCCTTCGCTCTCCCGCAGTTATGATGACTGCTTCACTACTGTAGCAGTATTGCTTGTGGTACGGGAGGGAGCTAGGCCGGCTGGGAGCTAGAGCTGGCACATGATGATGATGACCGGAATGCGGCGCAATTAACGGGGTTTCCACATTTCCCCGTCCCCGAGCGGGAGGCGTTCTTCCTCAGCCCTAGGAGCGACGGAGCGACGGAGAAACGAGCAAAGAAGAGGGCGTACAGGCGACAGCTAGTAGCAGTGTAAGAGAGCGAGCGCGTGAGAGATTCAAACTCTCTTAGCGTAGTTATTTAGAGAGTTCGACTCACACCCGAATCTACGTACAGCAGCTGGTGGAAACCCAGTAATGGAGGCTGCTCAACTTCCAGCGGATGCCTTGCCGGCGGGGTGGTCATCGGGAGGGGCTGGCGCGGGCGACCCAGAGTCGGCACAGCGCAAGGCGCAGCAGGTGGGTAAATTGCTGAAGAGGTGCAGAGCAAGCTGGGCGACACCCTTCTGTCCGGGGTAAGATTTGTTGGCATCCAAGTGTCTGAATGCTATGTTCCAATGTACCGCTACTCTGCTCGTCGTAGGTTGAACTCGTCTGCCCTTGTCATGTCGGACTGAGCGAAGGCTCCTCTTGAGTCGTTGTGGGGGTGTTTGCCACGTTGGAAACCATGCCAGCCGTAGGAGTGGGCGATGTGTCTCCACGTGCAAATTTCCTGGCATATGGTGACGCTTCGTAGCGCAAGCGCGGCCGAAACGACAGGAAGCACAGCAGTGGATACTCTCGCTACATGGTGCGATTGGCAGGCAGTGTGCAGGAGACGCGCGCCATTCCTATCGCCAAGACCGTAGAGTATTTGTAATCGCCCCAAAGGTGGTATGCATATGGGCGCTTGAAACTGGCTCAAACTGGCTCAAGCAAGACATTTTGACTTGTGGAATAGGTGAATGCTCACAGCCGTGTAGATCTGTGGACGCTAGAATGACACAGATATGATTGATCGTTGCTATGTGACGACCTTGGTGCCTTGTTGCGTAGTTGGGCTATCGCCCAGCCCCGCAACAACGACCAACAGCACTTGCGCAGTGCACACTTTGGGAGGCTGCTGCCAGGGACGAATTCTCTACAAAGCAACAAACATGAAGCACATGCCGACTCTACAATCGGTGAAAGTCGTCGGAGACGCTATTCGTTGCAATGTTAACCAGCATGTTGTCAGTGCGTGCTGTCGCAGGTAATTGGGGACCGCTCAGCGTTCACGGGCAGCGATGTTGATGATACCATCCAGCGTCGTCAGCACAGAACCCGATTGGGGACGACAGGAGAAGCTCTTGGCTACACTTCGGATATTGTCCCATGACAACGCAGAATCATGGAAACGAAGATTTTACGCAACATCAACTCGCAGTGGTCGCTCTCGCGACCGCCTCACTCGCCGTCGCTCTGTCTCGCGCACACCACCGCAGGAGCAGCAGGAGCAGGAACGACGAAAGCAGATCCTGGACCAAATCATGACCGTGGAGGCGCGCCTCCGTTTGAGCAACATCGGTGCGTCCCGCACATCGACGGGGATGTCGTGGTCGGGTTTTGTAGTATGCGCGATAGGAATCAAGTTTGTGGCGGATCCTAGATACCCGTTGTAGGTGACGGAAGATATCGCACCCCCTGGCCCGTTTTTCAACGCCCAATTACTCCACAGCAGAAAGAGTGTGATTATCGACTTCCGAATAATGTATCCGTCTATTTATACATCCTCATCCGTCGTGGAGTAGTCAAGCTTTGAGAATCGGGTCCAGAGGGGTGTTCTACCTTGCGCCACCTAAGGTACCTTGTTAATTTCGCCGTAACTCACGAGAGATGCAGGACAACTGCACCTCTGGCTCGTTTTGCAGCTGCATCTCTGGTTCGTTTTGGTGTTTCATCCCCAGTCTTCAACCGTCAACGGTTCCAGCAGTAGTGATGCATTTGTTTCGGCTCCCAACACGGATATTTGCAATTGAAAGTGTACGCCCTAGAATCCTATGACACCGATCACGCATCACCCGCCTTCATGTCGCATCCCTCACGGTGCTCGTAGCTGAAGAAATATTGACATTTGCCACTCTTGGCACACACAGCAATGGTTAAGCCGGACAAAGCGAGACGCGTGGAGGAAATGCTAATACACGCGGCGACGTCGGGGAAACTCGGCGGCAAGGTGACGGAGGACCAGTTCATCCAGATGCTGGAGCAGGTACGACATATGAGCTCGACCGCTGTATGTCGTCACGAAGCCCCGTCATGCCTTGCGTGCTGGTAACTTCGTGATGTGTAGAAAGGAAATCGGGTCCTCTCGAGCCGTGAAGTAGTTGCACATACCGCATATAGATGAGGCCGTGTGCCAAGGTAGACGTTACAGTGATTTCATATCAGGCCGTTGCGGAAGGGTTTGGTTGGTATTCTCGCTGCCATGAAATATGGCCGTTGCTTCCTGTCGTCGTTTGATGGAGCTGTGTTGTAACCTACGATCGGCTCGCACGATGTTTTCGATCTTGCTGTTGCGCCTCCTTTCCGCTTGTCTGGTGGCTTGCGCCAACGTAGGTGAGCTCGCAAATGGAAAAGAAGACCAAGGTGACCATCAAGCGGAAAACTTACTTCGACGAACAAGACTCGGACGACAACGATGACGATATGATGTAAAATGAGTTTTGCAAGACCGAGGAAAGTCGTCCTATCGGTTTTGCCAGCTGCGTGATGCGTTGCCGACATGTGTAGGTGAACGAGTGTTTCTTCTTGAGCTTCGTTGTCATAAAGGAGGCACCGGGTTGTGTTGATTACAGAAACGCTTTTCGCTAGGTTGCGAGCTTGGTTTGGTGGACTTGTACAGAACGAGGGGGCGGCAAAGACGGGTCGCAAGTATTTTTTTTTACCTTTTTTCAGGTACCAAACTCCATGTAACCGCAGCAAATTTTTTATTGTTGTGTAGCACCCGAGGCTGGCGTCTTCCACGCGTACGGATTTGCATCAAGCCGCCTGATAGACGTAAGTAACTGAGGTTGTGTATCACATATTTAAATATGTAGGTAGCTGGCGGCGAGCTGGATCTACCAGCCGGTTGAAGGAAGCACATCTCATCGTGTTCGTGATTCGCTGGTGTGTATTCGGTGCTGTCCCGATGCCTTCGATCTTAGCGTAACTCGGGAACATACGCGGTGTTTAATTGTAAGTACGCTGGAGGTGTTGTCGCTCCGCACGGGCAGCTCCAGCAGTATCAAGAGTAATACCGAGCCTCTGATGAGGGACATCGATCTGCTGGGAAGGAAACCATCAACCTAGGAATGACCCTATTCGTTCACTATTGTAGCTTGTTTCTCGATGGTTTCGAGGTCGGCACTTCGGCCCAAAACATTGCTCTCTTTGCCCGCCTCCGAACTGTCGGAGGTGTTCTTCTCCGGGCGTATCTGTTTTTTTGTGGGACGCAGAATATTTGATCCGAGTTTGTCAAGACGGTAGGGTTGGTAGAACTGCTGTGTGCGACGGTTGACAGAATCAATTGATTAACAGGAGTGTTGCGTTGTTCGTGGAGGGCAGAGCAGAGTCATTTCTTCGTCTACACTTTCTTTCAGGTTCCGCGCTGGGGCAGTGGCAGAAATTTGTTCAAGTGATGCAACTCTGACTACTACTGGCTTCCGAAGTTGTCGGGCGTGCCCGTGGTTCAGAACGCAAAGGTATCTGGTAGATATTTCGAGATGTGTGACCTTCGCGCATGTTTCAGGCGGGGTTGCACTGCTGGTGGCCCCGCCCCCCGTACGCAGCCAACACACAACCCGCCGGCCTCGGTGACCACTCCCCCTCTGCGCTGGATCGAGCTAAGCTCCAACGGCATACAGCTCCTGAGTTGGGTTGACATCAGCTGGAAGACTGGAAGCACTGTGAGTGGTAGCCAAGAAAGGGGCTTGATCTGGGCGCCGTCGTAAATATCCGCGGACCGGCAGAGAACAACAGAAGTTCGTCAGTTTCTGAATGAGGTGTAACAGCAGTGGTAAATAACGTTCGTTCATCTCAAAACCACACACACAACATAATCCGTTTCCTTCGTTGTTCTGGAGCGCATCACTAGCGACGTTGGCAACGCTCTCGCACTCTTGTCGGGGTGTAGTACGGCGGCGTAGTGTCCAAAAGCAGAGCGTGGCGAGCAGATTATCAACAATCAATTTCCACATGGCGATCATCCCGCTGGCCCAGTTGTAGTGCAATAAGGAGAGTCGCCCGACGTACCATCGTATAGAGTGATCTCTACATAGGATCATGAACCTGATACTCGTAGAGGGGCGTATCCCCTCAAGGGTAGCGGGCACGCAGGCAGGCAGGCACAAGGATCTTTGCAAACATGTACTGCGGTAGTGTAGAGCCAGTTGGTTGACGGAACATGTAGCCAGCATGGGCTGCTGAAACAGAGAGGCTCCGTGAAGGAGATTCCATCCGTCTCTCACCATCCGACCGATCCTGGGTATCTCACCTCTGCGAGACGTGTGTTACCATGGCTCTCCGGCATGTGATTCGCCGAGGAGGTGGGACATTATCCTCGTCGCTGGCAAAGCACATGGCACGTGGAGGAGGAGGAGGGAGGCTGCTGAAGGATAGCAAGGTGCTTGGTGCTCTTGCTGTGCTGCGCGATATCGATTGTTTACGCCGCTTGTGTGTGCTTGTACCGTGTAGATGGCAATGGGCTGCATGCTGTGAAGAGGGAAGGGCAACGGGAACTTGTTGATCGCTAACAACAAGGTGCATGAACGTGGTATTAAGGTGATTAAGGTGCACTGTGCTAGCAGCAATCACGTCCGGCTTTGCAGCTCACGCAACGCAACAGTATCACCATTTCGCAGTTTTTCTGAGTTACCTCCGTCGACAGTCAACAACACAGCTTGATGACGATTCAATCTAACGTAACAGCGCCATGACCCTTTCCCTCGTCTTCGGCTTGCCCAGATCGCGATTGGAGTGTCGGACGATGTTTTGGACAAGGTGGGAGAGAGGTAAGCGTTGATGAGGCATGGAGGGATTGCTCATTTGTTCTTCGAATTGACCCGCACTCATTCCAACTCTGTCGTATTCATGTACATCACACGTTCCCCCCATGGCTGGGTACTGGGTACTGCTCTCCCCACACTACAGCTTCCTGACTCCCACATGAAAAGCTTGTGCAAAACATGTAGAAGAAGCTTGTCCTACGACACAAAGTCTCCGAAGTGTGCAGTAAGCGGTGTGCAGTAAAAGCGCCCGCGCGTACCTCTGTTTTTTGCCGAGGTTGGGGTTCTTCGTTCCGCAGAGGTCTCCTATATACAACCTACAGCAGTACGAATGGCCGCTCATGTATACTTCGTTTTAGTGTACGGGTAGCTCACAAATGGTCGTTCTCAGATTTTGAGTTTTCCAGAAGGGCTCGATTTATTTTCTTGGCTGTCAAGTTCTGCCGTGCGGGCGCTAACTACTGCGTACGACTTCGCAATGATTATTGGACAATTTATCGGACAACATACTGCTGTCAGCACAGCAGCACCCGATCAATTGACATCATCTCAAGAGGGTAATACCTAACCCTAACCCAACTTCCCCGATTGTATGATTTTATCCAACATGTTTCCTGCATACGAAAAACCTGCGAAGGCCTTAAGTTGGGTTAGGGTTATGGTTAGGGTTAGGGAATAGGGGCTGCGTGCCCCCTCCCTGTTCTATCTCCTGATAATGCTGAATTTCCCACGAAGAAGGCGGTCCCGTGCTCGACGGTTTTTTGGCGACGAAATGAGACACTGAGCCTCCACCCAATAGCAGTTACGTCTATGCGCTCTCCACCTCTCTACTACTGTAAAAGGCGATGATTCGATCCAAGAGAAAATCGAACCCACAATCAAGAGAGTCAGACAGACCGTTTACTGCTGTATGAACATTATTATTTGGTTAACATCGGCTTACGTAAATTCAGTAGTATTGTTGCTCACGCCTCCAGGGCGTGGAATGTGGTTAGCATGTCAGCGGAAAACAATGTACCTGGTGTATGCGAACACACCCTGGCTTCACCGATGTGCGAGGGTATATAACCTCTTCAGGTCTGCCTTTGTTTGTTCTCAAGTCTGCTGTACCTCTGTTTTTTTTTCTAGTGCAGCTTTCGAGCGATACGGGGCAATGTGTTCTACAGCAGTAGCACCTATTTTCTGCTAATCTAGGGAACAATTCCTCGGCGAGTGTTCCTCGGCGAGTGTTGACATCACTGCACTGTTTTTTGACGAGTGGGGAAGAAGAGGATCAGGACGATTGTTACATGTTTCGCACCGTGGACGTCACAGAGCGCTTGGGTGGCTAAACGGGTAAGATAAACATTATAGGGGAGCATCGGGGCTGACTCGGCGAAATTTTTTTCGGTAGTATTTGACCTCTTGCCTCTGCTGGGCGTTCGTTGCCCAGGATGCAGAAGATGGAGCTCAAGGCTGGCGACGTCCTGGTGAAGGAGGGACAACCGATGCCGGGCTTATTCTGGTGAGACGCAGACACAAGAAGAAGACATGTGCTACACCTTTGGACATCAGATAACTGTGTACGGCCGTCTAGACATTCATTGGCGGCTGCCGTCCCTCGGTAAGATCGGGGTAGGCATGGATGCATGCATCATGTTTGCGAAGACCTGGCGCCCCTGTTACCAATTCCGCTTTGGTTCCTGGATGCATCAAGGGAAGAATGTCAATCCGTGCTCTTCTATCGCGTCGACCCCCCCCCGCCCTTGACGGCAGCGCGCCAGCACCCACCCCATTGTCCTTGCGCTCCCGCCGTTCTCGAACCCTGCCCCGTTACCATGCGTTGTGGCGAAACGCAACATCGTTGCCCGCACGCTTCGAAGCATCGAAACCGGGATGCTCGAGCGCGTGAAAAGTCACTCCGGCACCGCCGCCGGCGAGGAGTTCTTGTTGGACACCAAGGAGGCGGGATCTGTAACGGGGCTCCTGCATGTCCTCAAGTCCGGAAAAGCGGATCCGGCCTTTGCCACGATCAAGGCTCGCGGCGAGTCCACGGTGAGGGGGGGGAAACGCGCTTAAGCGCACGCTGTTGAAAAGGATACGCCGAGTTCTTTTGCTGGCGAATCATGACCGGCTTTGCCTATGGCGAGGGCGATTGCAGTGGTCTGGGATAGCTGCGGAACCGATCGTTTGGCGGGTTCCGAGCTGCGCTGAAAACGCCGCCTCATCTCGAATCTTCCTTTCGGTGTGTTCACAACAGAGCAGTACCATCAAGCCATGTTGCCTTTCGGGAAGCAAGGGGGGGTGGACCACAGGTACGGTCGTCTAGATGCTGCCGTGTGGCCATTCTCCCAGAACTGCCTGCAACCTTCAGCAGCCGGGACAAATCTCCACCATGATGATATGCGGAAACTTGGTACCATGTTTCCCTGTCGCTTCGCAATTGATGGCCGACGCTGCTCACAATTCGTTCAAGTCGTCGTGACCCCCACCCACGCTTGGCGCGCCTGTTTTCCCGTAAGGTGTGGTGCCTGAGCAGAGACGACCTTGAGACCGAACTCAGGGGTAGACCGGACTTCGCCATGGGTCTCCTGGGGAAGCTGGCTGAACAAATGCGCGGGCAATCAAAGGCAAGAGTGGTAGTGGCGGTGTCATGGACGGGAAGGAGTGGCACGTTCGAAAAAGGAATGTGATGGTTCGGCTGGTTCTCGGATTGTGTTCGCGGCCCCGGGGTTTGGGCATGGTCACACATAAACGTGATAAAAGTGTAAGCATTGCTGACTTGTTTGGGGTGGTTCGGCGGGAGCATGAAGAGTGATACATTGATATGCTGTTCTTTTTTCACGTTCTACGTGTGCTGGAAACGTAGTTTTTGACTCCAGGTGCACAAGGAAGTTGATCTGTGTTTCACGCAAACGGCCGCCGTGCGACAAGGCGAACGACACCAAACACGCCGCTTTGTTCCCGTTCTCGATGCATCCTCTACTCTGCAGTGATATGTATGGCACTTTCCCCCCAATTTCGGGCGGCAGGTAGTAGCCCACCTGAAGAGCAAAGCCGGGGCGACCGGCAGCGGAGGAGAGCGGTTCGAAGGTGTGAGGGTGATGTGCTACGACTCGTCGGGGTGGGTGAGGAAGAACTTCCAAGCCAAGGTCGACAAGCACAACGAGGTGCGCCAGCCAGCCTCCGCGCTGCCTTGGCGCGGTACAACGTGGTTCATACAGGCGGTGTTGGTGATGCCCGTCTGGACGTGTACCTAAACCCTTTACGGTTTTTGTTCTTACCCTGGACGGAGTGACGTTTGGAGTGTCGAGAGGTTGCCGTGATGGGTGGGTAGTGGAGTGGGACTTGAACCCTTGAGTGTCCCGTGATCTCCATTGTTGATGTGCCGCGGGGCACCCCGACACACCAGGTCAGGGTCGAAATCAACACGTGACAAGTGGTGCCGAGGAGAAGACTTGCATGGCAAGGTCTCCATTGACATGCGCGAAAAAGAGGTTCCATGATGCTGTCTCGTCGTCGGGTTTGAGGCTTGACCTTTCGGCGCTGACCACCTCTGGCCGCTCTCGGCTTGATTTTCGCCCCCTCGAAACCTTCAGGCAGCGAGCCCGAGCGAGAGGATCTTGGTCGATTTCACGTCGGACACCCTTAGCTCCTCTTCAGCTTCTGCCGCCGTCGGGTAAGGGCAGACAACGCCCCGTCGGGACCTCGAGGATTGCTTAATTGTTGTTGTTGGTGGTGGTGGTGTTGGGGTATTCTTGTTGTCGTTGTTGCTGTCGCTGTTGTTGTCTCCGCATTAAAAGGCCGGTCTGACCTCTGCACGAGCACCTCCTTTCCTGCTCCTTGCGCGGCAAAGAAACGAGTTCAGCGGTGGTTACACTCCGAATTTATCACTTCTAGACGCAACCCCGACAACCTCGCAAAACAAATGCAAGTTCCTCTACAAGTATATCCGAAAGATAAACGCAACGTTGGGTGCAATGCGCTGGTAAATGAAGCAAGTTCCCGGGCTCCAACCCGGCAGCCGAGTCAAAAACAAAGCGTGCTTGGCGGCTTCGGGTGAAGCGCCCAGGCCTGATCGCCGTACCGTGTAGTATTCCTGCAGGAGCTATCCCTCCTCCTGTTCAAGTCCAGGGAGTATGTGTACCGTCTGATTTGATTGTCGCCAGTGCTTCATGCAGCATTCTCGGAAAGAGCATCATAAATACGAGTACTTTTTCACCGCCTCGATTTCCTCCTTGCCGCACCCTCGGTCTTGCTCGTAGTTACGATGTGGTTTGCCTGTTCGTCAACGACGTGGCGGACGGGAAAGTTCTCCAGACTCTCGGCATGCTGGGCGTCGGCATGGTGGCTCTACGGTGAGCTATGTGACACCAGACAGGCCTGGCAGTTTTCGTTCACCGGTTTTTGGATCTGTTTTTGTATCTTAGTACAGCGAGTATATGCGTCGTCATTTGCTGAATGATCAGTTGACGTGTCCCTCGCAGCCCACCTACATTTCGGTTCACGTGTAGAACCTCAGTATTTTGCGAGTCGATCCGAGAGCTCGATTTTCTTTCTTTTTTTTGTCGATGTCGTGGAAACCGCTTGTTTTTCCTTGCTAGACACCACTTCCTCCCGGTGTGCCCTGCTGCCATTTCGTCCCACGTTCTGTCTTCTGTCTTGATGCCCATGAAAACGTTATCTAGCACTGACAGTTTTTTTGCCAACGTCACCCTCGAGAACATCCTCCTTTGCAAACCCAGCGCACTCGATGTTCTGATGCCGCGTGTTTCCCGAACAGATGCGCCGGGTTCGATAGGGTGGACGTGGACGCCGCTCAGGCCCTTGGTTTGACTGTTGCGAGGGTGCCGGCCTACAGGTAAGACCACAAGCCTCTTTTCCTGGTTCTCAATCAAGCTTCGTGCCTGGGCTTGGAACGGCGCCAATACAGCTGTGGCTGCGTCTCGTGAGGTTGCACGAACCTGGTCAATGCGTTAGCTTTGGAACCTTGCTGGCGGGAGGTTCGGTGACAACTCCCTATTGACCGGTTCAGTTTCAACAGTTATCCGTCACACTTCTTCTTCAGTTAGGGCAGCTCGTTGTTCGGTCTCGCCAGCCAGAGGAGCAGGTGTATCGCTACGCACAGTGGAGCAGCAACACAGCCAACGTTGGCGTTTCAAAGGGAATACTTGCAACCCCAGACGAGAAATAAATTTCCCCCGTTCGACGTTCACCAATTTTTACTCGCCATTTCTCCGTCCTGTTCGGCGGTCCCCCTTACTGATCTGCCCAACGTCTCGCCGTTGCCCACTGGAAAAACTCCTGGCGGCGACGACCACCACCACGCTGTGGTGAAGCCCCTACGCCGTGGCGGAACACGCCGTCGCCCTGCTGATGGCGCTCAACCGGCAGACGTCCCGGGCTTCCGCTCGCACCCACGACGCCAACTTTTCGCTCGACGGCCTGTGCGGCTTCGACGTTCACGGCAAGACCGTTGCCGTAATCGGCTGCGGGAGGGTGAGAGCGGCTGGCTGTATCACAACCGAAAACTGAGACCAACAGCAATAGCACCGCAGGGCTCGGGCAGTGGGAGTGACATATGAAACTATGTTGCTGCCTTGTATCGAATCGAAAACTGGAACAACGTTGTGCTCCCTCCGGGTACTATGTCTGCATCCACGTTTTGTAGAGCTCGACGATTGAGCACGTGCGTCCGCGACCCGTCCGGACCCGATCATTGGTCTTTTGACGAAACAGATCGGCCAATGCTTGAGCAACATCTTGCTCGGGTTCGGGGTGAAGCTCTTGTGCGTCGACGCGTTTGGGGAGGTCCCGGACCTAGTGAAGCGGGGGGCCACGTTCGTCGCGTTGGAAGAGGTAACGTATGTCGCACTTCCATTGACATATCAAAATCGTGTTTTCTTAGTGTGCCATCCATTTAAGTTCTTGGCGTGCTTGTATTCGGGTCACAGTTGTGAGGGAACTACTACGTACAGCAGTAGGCGCCAGCACTTCTAGTTTTGGCCGAGGCTGGGGGTCAGCGCATTTAGATGTTTGTAGAAGAGCCAAACAGTCAGGGCCCAACTGGAAGCCCACATCTCTACTTTGCTCGGTACAGATCAAACAAACACTTGCTGGGTAGGGGTTGCCAAGCCTCCATGTCGGATGGGAGCTGGGTAACTCAGCGCATGGTAGTCTAATCCCCTTCATTCATGGTATCGTAAGCCCCGACTCGCTTGTCTCAAACCAAGGCATCAGGCCCGCCAAGTACGCCCCCCCGCCTCCCTCACGTGCTTCGCAACGAGAGCAGCCAAAAGAAAGGGATCAGGCTCGATTTCTACGGATCAGCGGTACAGGGATTCGTTGGTTGCAGTCGGGATCAAAATGGTAGATACCGGGCACGGCAGGTCGCCGCGCGCACTTTTCTCTTTTTCTGGCGACGACTGGACTTTCCCCCTTCGGAGGACCCAATGCCAACTTTCTCGTCACCGTTTTTTCGTTTCTCTACTGTAGGTATGGCCGGAAGCCGACGTGGTGTTCTTGCAGGTGCCACTGCTTCCGTCGACTCGTCACATGATCAACGACGACGTCTTGCCCAAGCTCAAGAAGGGAATGACCCTCATCAACACTTCCAGAGGAGGTAAGCACCTTCCTTGCCCCCCGACAACCCCAAGGACCGAGGACCTTGTACTTGCGTGTGATCTAGCAGCAGAGCGTTGGTTTGGTGGTCCTTGATTGGTTTTCGAGACTTGATCTCGGCCCCAATCACCACCCCCCATCCCCTTCTGGTCACAACCCCCCGACCTTGCGCCTAGTCGAATCACGGATTCGAGGGTCGACCAGCGGGTACAGTTGTTCTTGAGTCCCACGCTTTCTTTGAGTACGTCTCCTTCCCTCTCTTGATTTTCGCGGGCGTTACTTTGGCCGTCTTCGTCGTGTTCACATCGAAGGTCTGGTGGACACCGAAACTCTCATCAAGGGCCTCAGATCAGGGGTCATCCGCCAGGCTGGTCTGGACGTGTACGAGAACGAGGCGCCTTACTTCTTCAAGGACTGCAGCGATACCCCGGTTCAGGTGAGCTATGCCGCCACTCGGTTATCGTTGGTGTGTTGTCCAATCAACGACGACATCGCAAGGGTGTCGCAGGTGAGACTCGTATCGGTGGTGCGTTGGGTCCAGTCGACGACACTGCGAGGTTGCCACCGTCTGTCGTACATCTCTCCTTACGATGTGAGATGCCTCCACACGGTTGCGGCGCGTCTTCGCCAATGGGCTCGTGCGCGTACCGCCCCGTCCTTACGAGCTGCTTGTGCGCCGACTACGCAGGACCCCCTTCTCTCGGAGCTACTGAGCTTCAACAACGTGCTTCTGACGGGCCACCAGGTGCGTAACTTCGTGGTATGGCAAGTCCAGCTTTTGAGCAGAACAACGCACATAATCCGTGCACGGGTGTTTTGCTGACGCCTCTGGTGTCATACCTGCTTCGCCGGATGGAGCTCGACTTGTTTCTCGTGCTGGAATCGAAAGAGGTGGTTTGTGTGCAGGGTGGCATGGTTTGCTTCTTCGCTTCGTAACACGACGTCATCTGTTCGGCGCGTGCTCTCCGGTGTCTCGTCGTTCCTCGCAGGCGTTCTTCACACAGGAGGCGATCGACGGCATTGTCAACACCACCTTCGGTGAGAAAAATCGTTAGTTGACGGCCCAATCACGCGCGCAATCACGTGCTTTTTTTAAGCCCTGCCATGCCATCGAGACGCCCACTCCTGGACAGTCGTCGCTGCGATGTAGGAAGAGTTTAACGCCGTCTCCGGCCAACTGGAACTGTGATCTATGCAACATGGTTTGTTTCGCAGTTCCATTCCCCCTGACTAGTCCAGAACGTCTTAACGAACAACGACCAATCTCATAAGGCGGCATTTCCGACTGTGGTATGCACTCTGTTATCGTGTTGAATATCGCAGATAACATATCGGACTGGCGCAGCGGTAGCAAGGGCAAGGCTCACAAGAACTCAATCTTCTAAGCAGCATCACATGCGATGCCCAGGCGACGTCCGCCTTATCGCGCATGAGTCTCCTAACCCCCAAGCGGCATGGCGAGGGACGCACAACGGCTGAAGATCTGAAGATCTACATTAGAATGCTACAGGCGAAATGGCAGAAGACGTGATGCCATTGCCTCGAACGATGATGATTTGTATTGCGTATCGTGTTGATCGTTTCATGTCTATTGCTTGGTTCACGAAGTTTTGGTGTCTGGAGACCACTCCGAAACCCTGATCGATTGGTGCTGGTTCTCCAAATTTGTCATGTTTTATTCGCGTGTTTTTGGTGCACCACGGAGGGTCGTTTTTTTTGTGCCGCCCTCTCCAACCATAGTAAGTGGATAGGAGTCTGGAGCTTCTGCCGGCCGTTCTTGGAAACCGATGGAGAAATCCCTGATGGGGAAGTACCGTAGTTTCGCCAAGAACAGCACTGCTAACTTGTGAAAGGGCTTCAAAAGGTCAACTCTTCGTTGCTTGGCTAATTGTGAACGTCCCGGTTTTTTGTGACTTGTCAACGCAGAATCTTTCGGTGCTTGTTGTTCCGAAGGTGGATAGCAGCGAACGGTGCATGGTGTGGTTTGTTGGAGAGATATAATTTCCCCTGCGTGATCGTGAAAGGTTGCTCATCATACGTTACGGACGAAAACTGGGTTGTGGGTCCTGGGCTTGGACAAGCGCGCCTACTCGTTTCACGCGCCGAAGCCAACTTTTTCTCGTTGCTCCTTTATTGGCACACGCGGTTGGACGTGGCGCGATCATCGACTTTCGTCTGTTCCGTTTCTTCATCACCGGCGCAGCCCATGGATGTCCGCGACACCCTGCCGGGGTGATTTCAAGTTCGGGTGTATATATATGCACCTTCTCTAGCGCCGGATACTGCTGTCGTTTCAACCTCACTCTTACCCGATGATACCGATGCAAAGAAAACACTTTTTTCCGTTCAGCAGATACGCTGCTGTAGACTCCTGCTGGGTACTGCTGTTGTAGTCTCGATACACGGATGATGCGCCAAGTTGCTCCCAAAAACGCGCCTTGTATCTCATATTAATGGTTGCACATGGAGCCGCAGAGAAGGGGTCGTTCAGGTGTTGATCGTTGAAACGGTATCTGCAGCTTGACATTGCTCACATTCAACGCATCGTGAAACCGCCGGGATCATTCTTAGAATGTACATCACACCGGGGCCCACGTTGTCTAACCGCTCCCTCTCAGCTCCTTTATAGAGATTATTTGCGCATAGCTGCCGCTAACCATGTGCGTCCGGTGGTGGCATGCGGTAGGGCTATGCATCTAGACTAGAGACTAGAGAAAATGTTGCAGCGTAGCGAAGGGTTGTGTGCAGGTTGTGTGTGCCCAGGGTGTGTACATTTTGCGGCAGATCTTCGCCGCAGTCAGCCGGGACTGTCAGGAACGTTCTCGGCGTCGAGCCGAGAGATCGAGAGATGCCCGGTTTCGAGTTTGAGTTTCGTGCCCGCCACGTCATCTGATTGTTGCAGCAAAATCTCTACTCCATCTGATTTGGCAGCAACACAGCAGCTCGTCTGCCTGGTAAAGACGGACCACAACGGGTGAGTGTGTGTTTGGTTAGACTGATTCGCTCTCTAGCCGATGGCTGTGTGCTGGTGCTCCTGTTTCCAACTTTGCAGCGCTGGTGATCTGCAAGACGGGGCTGTTTGTTCCGAAGGCTGAGGGTGAATCTATAAGATAAACACCTTTTAGATAAAAGATATGCGCTCAGATCATTGGCACCCGGCTGGATCACTTGGGTTTACGGCTTTTAATCACTGGGATTGAGAGTAGGGATCTCCGGGGACGGACCCCTCGCCAGACGCTGCCGGAAAAAGACATAATGGTGCTTGGGAAAGTGACCAGCCGGGATTCGAACCCGTGCGTGTATCCTTAAACTGACTGGTCTAAAGGTGTAACTTTATCTTGTAGAATCCAGTGTTCTCCCCCTAGCCCCCGAGGAGATAAGGTCACACTATATTTGTTCCAGGTAGCAATCGACCGCGGCAGGCGTTGTCAACGCGTTGTGATGCTGCAAGTTCATTGTTGGTTCTAGTAATGAGAGAGGACGGTGGCAAGAAAGTTGTACACGTTGATGGATTTGATGTGCTTGCGGGCTTGCTGGCCGGGGCACGGGCCATGCCTTACCCTGAACGGGATCTGGATACTCTTGGAGTGGTTCGAGTCGTTCACAGGCGGTCGCTGCGAGGCGGTTCATCTATTGGACCCACATTAGCCTGGAGAGGCGGTGGGTGTAAATAGTCGAACCCATGGATGGCTGTTGTCTGTACATGTCTACACAGCCCAGCAAGTTCGCCCACGTCCGATTGTTTGCGTTGTCCAAACAGTGGATCTCCAAAATACAGGTGCTGTGGGTACAGTTAGCGCCCGCCCTTGAGCACTTACAGAACCGACCCGCACTCTTAAGAAAAGAACAGGTGCTCAGTCGAGAAGCCTACACTAAAACTTATCTATATCGTCACCGTGGGGATACCCCATAGTCTACTGTAGACAGTAAGCGAACTGTCGGCCAAAGTGAGTGCCGTAAACAACTTTAGCAGTTCCAAGAACAACCCGTTCGACTGCTGTGGGTATATCTTGAATGGGTAGTCTTTCTGTGTGTGTATTTTATTATTCCTTAATTTGCCTCGAAAACTCAATCTAAGAACGAACTTGGACACCGCCGTAAGTGAGCTCCCTTATACTAAAACCAACATAGCGAGCGGTCACCCGATCCAAACCCTACTCTGTAGGAGTTAAGAACCCCAGCCTCGGCCAAAACTAGAAGTGCTGGCGCCTACTGCTGTACGTAGTAGTCTAAAATACAATATCAAGCACGTTGACACCGGTAGAGTAGGACAGAGAGTCTACACGCGTGGCAGTCCTGAAGACCCTAATGCATGCGGAGTATACTGTACGCTGCTATATGGATGGTCTGTTCCGAATGAGTTGGGGTTCGTGGGTACCCCCAAGGTGTCTGACGTCCCGCATCGCAAATCACGATCGTTGGAGCAAGCACGAAGCTCGGTGAACAGCAGCCGGGACCGGGGAGCACGAGGCATGCCGCCCTGCCCGGGCATAGTAGGGACACAAAGCCTTGGGGATTGCGACATCGGTGTCATGAGAGCCCCCAATCCTGCCCCGGTTCTGTCAGCTCCTCCTCCCTGTCCCTCTCACATTGCGCGAATATCTTAGGGCTGACAACACGTAGGAGCCGAATTTGCCAAGCATCCCGGGGGAGACGTGATGTGTTCACTACGCGGGGTGAGTACTCTGTCACAAGGGGGAAGTTTTGTTCGTCGTAGACAGAACAACCTGCTGCCTAAGATTTACATCTTCTGAGAGTTGTAACTATATACCGCTGCATATGGTGGTAGGTTAGGTCTTGGTTCGGGTTTCTAGGGGTCCCGTAACGGAAAAGTACTACGGGACCATGATGACCCTCACGGTTATTGCCTTGGTGCGTAGGGAGACAAGAGGAGGCCAGACGCGTATCCTCAGGCCAAGTACAGGAAGAAGAGATTTAGCACACCTGGGAAGCCACGTGGAACAAAGACCCGCTGAATCGTACGTTGATCCCGCCTCCCAGCCCTTTTCTTTCGAATTTGAGGGAGAGGTTGATACGAGTATGAGAGTCGTACAGCTACCAGTGCAATATAACCCGTACTTGGGCGACGTATACTGCTAATGGTTTGGGTTGGCTTGTTGTCGGTGTTCTAGGTGGGATTTTCTGTCAGTGTATGCGTATGCGACACACAAGGTCGATGAGCGGGAATTGTGCTTGGGTTTGGGGCGTTTTTCGATGGGTGCCGATCACTGGGCGGGTCGTTCACTCGAGACCGCAACTTTCTGACCCGGCTGGTGGAAACAAGACGGAGAGGTTGTGTTTAGGGGCGAAAGACGCGCACGGATGCCGAGGAAGCTACTGCTGTTGCAGTGTTGCTACACACTGTAGGTGCCAGACTCGGCTCCGCAGAATGTTGTCAAGGTTAGAATTATTTGGAGTCGAAAAAACAACCGGCACTGCTGTTGTATCGATCAATGCCAGAAAGTGCACCTCACCTTCTGCTCGTCCACGTACGGTGTCAAACAGTGGGAGTAGCGTGAGCAATAAACCCTCCCACACCTGTAGTAGACGACGTTTGCGGAAGTTCTGCTAAAGCTGGACACGCTAGACATGCCCGCCTCGTACTAGCGTAAATCGACCAATATGTTCCCTCTTCTCTTTTCGCTCGTCGTGCACGTTCTCTCCGCCACTTAAGGTCAACGTGCTGTTCCTAGTGTTGAGTCACACCCTGTGCTTGCTAATCCAGGGCCCGCTGCTTCACCGCATGGAAGGTATTGTTGTATCACGTTTACTCACATAGTATCATGATAATTGCAGGCATGGAGGTATTCCATCCCTGTTGTTCACCAGTGACGGTGGCCCCGTTTCACCCTGGGTGTTGCATTCGCTTGTCAGTCTCGTTGCGATATGATAGCACCCTGTGCTCGTGATTCGTATTGTAATGACTTTTCCACTGACTGCAAGTAGAACGGCTCGGTGAGTGACAGAACAATTCTTTGGACAAGGAAGATATATGGCGCGACCCGGTGTGCATGGATATAACGCTGTGGATGAGTGTGGAAACTTGTTAGAGCCCGGTTTCCCTGTAGAACGAGAGACTAGGCATTTAGGGAAGCTTTTGAGGGCGCCAGAAAAGGAGGTGAGACACCTTGGCGTGTCGTCCGCTTGAAAGGAAGTACACACCGGTCAGTGCACCGTACAGATAACCGACGACCTTCTAGCAAATTATATCAACGCCCTTTTGCTTTACGATTTTCCCGTCAACGGTGGCGTTACGGTTTGTCCGAGAATACGCGTTGTCCCGAAAGGCGATTGCGGGACTACCTCCGTTGGCACACGCCGGAACCACCCCTCCGCTTGCTTGGTAGTCGTTTTGCGGCCTCATTTCTTCGTCCGTTGCTAGCCTATTCTACTCCTTGCGAATCAATCTTTGAGTGCCTCACCCCCTTGCCAAAACCATCGCCCGCTTGTTATTCTTCCTCCGCGTGAAACCAACGAGTGTAGCGGTCAACACAGGGTGACGGTTGTCGCCTATCCTTCCTCTCCACACGCGACTTGCTCAGATGTGCCAGCGCACGTGGCCTTGACGGTGGGAGGTCTTCTTCTTTCCCCAAGACTCATGGCGAAGGATGAGGAGGAGAACTCCACTGCTCAAGCGCTCGTGTTGGTGTTCTTCGTCATGTTGTCTGCTAGCGACCTGTGGGAGGCGTGGTTCTTGTAAGTTTTATTTCGCTTTTACTTTGTTGGAAACACTTGTAGTAAGGTTTTTCTGGCGCCCGTTTTATGTTTTTCTTTTATTTCTAGAGAGGT